AAATTCCTTAAGGAAGTGTCTACGTACTCCCCGATTGGGGTCTATGTAGTCATGGTGTCTAGGTGGACCCCAAAATGTTGGATTGTGATTGGCTCGACATTGTTACAACATAGATACTACACCCTACGGTAGGGTGTACTATCTTTGGTTACAATGCAAGGCTACTGATCATCTCGGGCGGTGTGTCTATCTAGTGTTACTATAGTTTATTTATTTTAGCCCAGAGAGAGAGAGTATTTAACCCTCATCCTGCGGGAGCCGGGTTTATGTAGTCCGATAAGCCTATTTCGGCACCTCGCCTGCGTTCTGGTCCCGAGTCAGTGTAGCTCCTGGCTCAGCGCACGCGCAGCGCGCATCCTCTTACGTGTCATTCGGGTCCCGAGTCGGATCCCCATTCACGCAGGTCAAGTGTGTGCGCGTCAGTCTTCTTGAGTTTGTGTGCGTTTGTGGCCTTCTTCTAGAACCACCTGCGTTGGTTCGTAATCGAGGCATACGTCTCATTCAAAACATGCCAAGTTGATAGCTCTAGATGTTCGTCCAATGAAATTATAGAAGAAATTGACCCACTTAGACATGAGGAGCTCGAAAGGATAATCAGGAAACAAGACTTCCATTTTTCTATACAAAATATTTCAAATGAGCTTGATTTTGTATGAAATGATACTACCTGATAAAAGATGAGCTTGTTTAATAGTTTTGAATACCCTTGTGCAGGTACAAAGAACAATTTGAGTGTAAAACATTCGGAAATTGACCTAAATTATCCCTTTTCGAACCTCAGGTCATTCATAACAACAAGAGCGCCCAGAAAGGTTATTCAAATGGGCGTAACTACTCGTAATGTCTTATCAGCTTGTGAGAGGGGGTTATTCATGTGTTTGTAACACTTTATAAATAGAATACTATGAAGGATAGCGCGTTATTTTCATCATCAGTTAACACACTCCCGCTGTATTCATGGCGAAAACACACGTTTCCCGGCGCGCGCACTGTACACCAACAGTACACACTGAGTGACCCCGGCGGCCTGCCCGGCGAGTCCGACGTAATCGGTTGCTGATAAGATACGCATCTGGGCACAGACGCAGGATAAGAGTTAATGAATAAACGTATCTAGATCTAGAATCTAGATCTAATCTAAATATCTAGATCTAGATATTAGATCTATCTAGATCTAGATCTAGAATCTAAATCTAGACTGAACTGCACACTCTTGGCTGGGTGCACAACAAAATCTAGATCTAGATCTAGATACGTTTATTCATTAAATACTCTCTCTCTCTCTCTCTCTCTCTCTCTCTCTCTCTCTCTCTCTCTCTCTCTCTCTCTGTCTCTCTCTATCTCTATTGGCTAAAATAAATTAATTATAATAACACAAGATAAACATACTACCCCGAGATGATCAGTAAGTAGGCCTAGCAGCCTTGCATTGTAACCAATGTAAACTACCACTCGCTCAGCGAGCCTATCACAATCCAACATTTTTGGGGTCCACCTAGACACCATGACTACGTAGACCCCAATCGGGGAGTACGTAGACACTTCCATTCCTTAAAACGTTTACAAAAACTAAACTAAACACCCTGAACAATAAACAAACATTACCTGCAATCGTAGAGACTTGGACAATCTTACAATTTTGGGCGCTTCCGAAACCATTCCTGGCGGTGACGCTGAAAAAGTAGTCTGTCTTCTGCTGTAAACCGGTGACGTTCACAGCCTGTCTACTGTTCTGTGTGACGTCACTGGCAGCAACCTCCTGATGTCGCCCCGACTCGTGTGAGTCGTTCAGTCCGCTGTGACGTAGCACGAAGAACGTCTGCTTCTGACCTCTGTCAGAGCCAGCGCGCCACTGAAGAGTGACGAAGTTGCTGCTCACTTTACTGACCTCCAGAGATCTGGGACATCGAGGTGGTCCTACAGTGACAAACATGGTGATCATGTTGTTTATAAAAATAGTAGTAGTGGTAGTAGTAATAATAACAATAATAATAATAATAATAATAATAATAGTAACGGTAATAATAATAATAGCGATTTAAATAAAAACAGTAATGGTAATAGTAATAATAACAATACTACTACTGCTACTACTACTACTACTACTACTACTACTACTACTACTACTACTACTACTACTACTACTACTACTACTACTACACTACTACTACTACTACTACTACTACTACTATTACTGCTACTACTACTACTACTACTACTACTACTACTACTACTACTACTACTACTAGGCCTATTACTACTACTACTACTACTACTAGGCCTACTACTACTACTACTTCTAATAACAATAATAACAATAAGAATTAATATTATTGTTATTGATATCACCATAATCATCATAATAACTGTATTACTATTAGTACAAGATAAGATAAGATAAGATAACACTTTATTATATCAGAGGGAACTTTTCAATGGCTGTACTGGACCGTAAAAACACATGCAGGTATACATAAAAATTTAAATTATATATTACTCTCATTAAAATTCAATGTAAAAAGAGAAGTAAAACTGACAAAATGTACATATCACATCAGATGCATCATTCAACCACATGCAGGAATTTAATTACAAGACCTTTAGAGTTATATAGATACATACTCGAAAGAGCAATACACACTGATGGTTATTCTGACAATAGTCTTATGCTAGATAGTAAAAAACTTCTTTTATATCTTTCTTTCTTTGATTTTAGAGGTACTTATCTAAAAACAAAGAAAGAAGGATATAAAAGAAGTATATAATTACCATCATCAGCAGCAGCAGTGGTAGTTAGCAGCAGCAACAGGTATGATTGTATTAGAAGCAGCAGCAGCAGTAGCAGCAGTAGCAGCAGCAGCAGAAATAGCAACATTAGCGGCAGTATCGAACAAAATCGCTAACCTCGTGGACTTAGTTTGACCTCTGTGTAGCTATACTGTCCATCCGAGTTCTCGATATATAGCTTGTAAGGACTGTTGAAGTCTTGCTGTGTGACACTCTTCAGAGTAATGGTGACAATCCCTCGAGGTTGTTTGGTGTAAGAGAACCGGGTGTTGTATCTGTCCAGGCGAACTGCTTCTGTAAACAGGGGAAGGGGGAAAAAAAGCAACTGAAGGACCCCATAGTAAAATGCTCTATAGCCATTAAATAACAATAGTAACAAGAACAACAACAATAAGAGAGAGAGAGAGAGAGAGAGAGAGA